TGCGCCCCCCTTGTCTCCATCCTGCTTAATTTAGATTCTGTTCTCAGCAGTGTCTCCTTGGTGTGGGGCTGTGACCAGGAAGGGAGCTTCAACTGGTTAGTAGTTTTGAAAATTCACAGGGACCAGATGGCTCAACAACACAGTACTTGCTGTGGGTCCCTTGGATCCTGGGAACTCAAAACCATCTCTTACTTTCTCTCAGTTGCTGTTCGCAAACTTGCCTGCCACTCTCCAGGGAGTCTCTGTTGGCCATCTTGGGGTCCTCATGTTCTCAGGACCATCTGACAGATACCCTACTGCTTCATTTTGTGCAAATAATGACACCACACAGGTAGTTAATGGAGATTTGTCTCCACCTACTTGTATTAGGGTTTGTTCTCCTAGTTTTATAGAAGGTGTACCAGAATTTTTAGTTTTGCTGTCCTTGTTCCCGTCTGTTTTTAGTGAAAATTACAAGATTCAAAAACTATGCCCTGCTATCATCTTCCCCAAACTCAAACATTCTTTGGGGGGTGCGCATTTAGTAACTATCCTTAAAATCTAAACAAATGACTAGGTATCTATTTGCCTTCACCTGGGTCTTGAATAACAGCACTAAGGTCTAAGAAATTCAACTTTCCAATATAGCTAACCTCAGGTTTCCCATCATCTTTTCTATAAATAGCATTGTTCTCTTATGTGATATATACATGATGCAATCATAATTGATTGATTCTACTTAGAAATTAGAAATTTAAATAAAAATATGAAACAAAAAAAGAAAGTAATGAGAAGCTCTTAAAACCATTCTAAGTTTACTAAAGCAGACATTCAAATTGTTACAAATTAGGAAAGCAAAAATTGTTCTTTTTACAAATATTCGGTGAGTACTTTCTATGTCCCAGGAACTTGCCAGGCAGACACAGGGCATGCAAAGAGGATAAGCTTTAGCTCTTTGACCTTGAGAATCAGACTATAGTTGGAACAAAAAACCAGTAAGCAAAAATGCAAATTCCATAAAAGCATTAAACAAAAACCATTTGCTAAAAAGAAATAATTCTTGGAGGAGACTATCCACCAAACTATTAGACTGGTCACTTACTTTATTCATTTCTGAAGCACTTGAACTTTTTCCTCCACTGAGTATACATGATCACTTTTATATTTTCTAAAATAGAAGATTCTTCTTTTTGCCAGTAGAATTACAGATTTTTAACTATAATACTCAATCCCAACAAAGATATATTAAAAAACATACATTCAGGTAATGCTAGTGAGTATAAACTGGTAGGTATTACTAGATAGCTTTCTGAAAAGTTCTACCAAGGGCCTTAAAAATTTATCAAACCCTATGACTCAATATTTATACTCTTTTTAAAAATAAATTACCAAAAAAATAATTTATCATTCAAACATTTATTAAATGCACAGATGTTACTATTTTAAAATAGGTAAAAAGTTTAAAAAAAAAATGTCTAATAAGAGATATCTAACAACTAGGAAATGATCATACATGAAATATCAAATCGGCACACTTTAAAATAAATTTCTAAGTAATTCACCCTCAAAAACAGTTATAGTTCTAAATGCTCTGGATCTGCTCCAAGTTCAAAGCGACAAAAGATCACTACAATTAGTTGCTGATGACATAGGAAAATGTTTATGATATAATGGTAGGCAATAAAAGAGAAGATATATGTAATATAAAAGGTTTTACTCAAGCATATCAACTAAATATTTGAGATTATCTCAATCAAAAATGGTATTGAAACCAAAAAACTAGAAAGGAATGGGCCATAGTTCATTGGACAGAACTTGAGAAATGTTTCCTTCCAATGATCTATATTTTTATAAAATTCCAAATTTTTTCAGTGATTGTGTAACATTTAATAAACAGGGAGAAAAAGTAAAACCTAAGAGCAAAAATAAATTCACTGAATTTACCATTCACCAAAATATATATAAATTCACTGATTAAGAGCAAAATCAGACTTCTCAGGGTCAAAAAAGGAATGAGGGCTGAAGGAGGGAAAACACATATGGAAAAGGACCAGATACACAGGACAGTGTAAAGGACAATTGCAGAAGGAGGCAAATTGGCACCACATACCAAAATATTAAAAAGTACAAACCCTCTGATTCCCCCAATGCACTGTGTATGCACGAGAGTCAAAAAATTGATTTTTTTTTATTTACAGATCTGATTTCTAATTGTTCTGTAATAATATGCCATCCTCCTGTGATCACTGAAGGATGCAAACTTTGCCCTACAAAACTCACATTTTAAAATGAGTTAGAGAATTTAAAATTAAAAACTGCCACATCAAATAGGTTTAAGCAGTTATATTCATAGATATATATATGAGAAATATAACGGCAACATGAACAAATCAGCACAATATAAAATAAATTTCTAAGGCTATTCATCCTCAAAGAGTTGCAGTTCTGTATGTTCTACAACTATTTCAAGTTTTAAAGTGACTAACCTATCACTATTGCTAAAAAACAATTTCAGCTGTTAAAGAAGCCCATGACAATGAGGAGTAAAAATGATACCAACTGCTGTATCCACAGGCTTTTCTTAACTAATGTTCCACTGGATGTTAGTGGGTATAAATTAAAACTAAAAGAGAGGGGAGGTTTTTTTATCAAATACATTTTTAAAATGCAAGAGCCTTTATATTAATGTGCACAGTAATCTCTGAGGCAGTGCATTTTCAAATTTAATCTCGGAAGTCAGTGATTCTACATCCTAAACTAAACTTGGTTACCTCTTAATTCAAAGGGTTCCCTGGGCTCCCAGGATGCCGGGAAGCAGAATGGTGTCACTTATCACTACCATGAATAAAGGAGAGAGGAGCAGGTGTGTGCAGGAGAGACGTCCAGGAGGCAGTTACATGAGTCTGGAGCTCAGCAGAGAGGAGCTGGACACAAGTGTCGATTCTGATAACTCTGGTATGTAGGTGTCAGGTGAAGCCATTACTGTGAATGCTACTAACCAGAGAATGTTTTCTGTTTTTACTCTAGATGCTTTGAATTCAGTAAATAAGTCTTAAAAATGCACCAAAAACATCCATTACATCATTTGTCTACACATCTGCCCCCTCCTCTGGGGACCGTGAAAGCTGTTCATTTTATGTTCAAAAACAATTATTAACTTTCAAATTGTTAAAAGGGAAATACATCAACAGCCAATACATATATTAGAGAAAACCAGACCTTCCTTCTTGGATTTTTTCCTTTATAAGCCAATAAATGTTGAAAATGTTTAAAGAATATAAGGCCAAGTAAGAGAGACTGGATTATATCATAAATCTAATCTTTGTAGTTTTTTTGTGTTCTAGAATTAATAAAATTAACTAGATAAGCTTTATAAACGGTATTTACTCTTTAGATATTTCATTTCATCCATAAGCCTTTCGAGAGAGAGCTTTCTGAAACTTCGTATCTTGTAAAGAGAAACTAGAGATAAAACAGCAACTTTGCCGCTTCGAAATTTCATAAGGGAAAAATCTTCAAAAGTATTAACATTCATGAATAAATCTATGAGATACCCAGAGTATTTTGTTCCTCTACTGACCTCAGTTGAAAGTGAGCATCTACTTGCGATAGCCAATGTGCAGTATGGTGCCCAGCGAGCAATCCGGGCACTGACAGTACTGAGAAACTGTTTCTGCACCAAGAGGTCAAACTTATAAACTCTGATAACAAAACGTTCATAAAATTCTAAAATTTTTCTGTAAATATTCCTATTTATTTCTCTACGACGGTGATGTTCAGCCTCAGTAGCGTCTTGATTTTACCAGCCACTCAGCCAGACCGTGTGCACGGTGTACCTCTGACACCACAGGCAAACATCTATGTGCACGCCTGAGAAACAATACGGAGATGACCACTCCATCACCTTTTTCCTTAAAAAAGAATTATATTGTGTCCCTCATGAATGTAAAATATTATATGATCTGTCATTTGCAAATATATTCAAGCGCATTTCTTCACACGAAATGGTACACCTGAGATGTTTTTTAAATCCTATTCTAAAGTCAAAACATGGTAATTTTTTTATGTTTAGAAAACAAAGATGACCAAAACCAAAAACCAATCGCAAAAACTTTAACAGCCACGCCAATAACGTAATGAAATATCTACCTGAGATTTATGTAGTTATTTCTTTTCCAGTTAAAGACCACGTTTTCAAACCATTAATAAATATAATCAAATAAGACTATCTCTGACACAGTCTACAAATACAAGCCACTTGGTTCAACAAAATGCCTCACAATCTACCTGATTTGAGAAGATACAAGTTTAAAAGTAACATTTATCCATTACCTACACTAGATTCTGAACACAGGCATATATGGATGAGCTTCAATTTTTCCATTTATGAGTAAGATCACCTCAATTAATTATAAGGCAATCAAAATTATTCTTTCAAAAATGCCTTCATGCTGCTTCTCCTGTACAAACACAAATGACAAAAGGATAAGAAAGAAGGAGGGAGGGAAGACAGAAGAGATGGAGGAAGGTATGGAAGGAAAGAGGGAGGGAACGAGGAAAGAAAGAACAATCCCACACTATATTTTTTACAGGAGCCATATAGATAAGTATAACATCCTCATTTTAACTGTCAGTCTTATTTCAGATGCATCAGTAACGTCTACTCCCTGTGCCTTTAAACGATTGGCTCTAACGGGGATCTGAGGGGACATGCATTCAGCCATAAAGGTAAACATTTATTTCTAACAGAAATACTTCAGTTCTCATCAAAGTATTAGCCGACCATACACTTTTGAAAAGTACTAACAATTACTAAGCTGTATTTGTATTAACACCACTATTAAGTCACCAATTATCGAACCGATATTAATGAATATCCCAATTCTCTTTGCATTTACAATTCTAAATAATTCTCCCCACTAATGCTGTTTATCAGAAAGCTCCCCCATTCAAAATACACCACCAGTTCCCACATTCTTTCAGACAGCCACAGTTTTACTGTATTTTAAAACTTGAGTCACCTGTATGCATCGTCTTCTTCCCAGTCTCATATCATCCTGATGGGGTGGGGGAGGGAGGGAAGAGTCCGGCAGCAAAACTATAACTGTGTGAAGAGAAACAGATTACGGTAAGAGATAAGGGCGCAAGACAATGACCCCTAACTGAGGAACATCTACTGTAGCCACAATACCCAAAATAGAGATAAAAATAAAACAAATTCATTACTCACACTTATTTAAGCTTACTTGAAAATAATTTTCATTAATGAATATCAATTAGGTATGAAAGATAAAGTATTAAATTGTCAAGGAGAAAAACATTTTAAAATCTGCCTACGACCAATGAAAATGTCACACACTTCTAGATATAAAAGTCAACATTTCACTATTCTATGTAATTTATCTGGTAGGGGAAATCTATAGTGTATAATCTCCATCAAATCAGCGTGTGAATGCACTTTTCCTGGCTTACTATCAGAGGTAATCAGAGGTCATGAAAGTTACTCTACGGGAAAGATAACGTGCCAATCTACCGACGTCACTGGTGAATGAAGTTCTGAGACACTGCTCACAACTGCTCCCCTAAAGCCCACAGGCCCTCCTTTGCTCTCCGAATGGCTCCTCTTACTTTATTGTAATTCTTCCACTGTACTTCCTACTCACTGCTTCCATTGATAATTTCAGGACTGCCCAGCAAATTCCATAACGACTGATGGGAAAGCAAAAGCAACCTCACTGTGATCAACTGAGAGAGAGCCCGGGATCATAGCAAAAAAGACAAAGACAAGTAGAGGCTAAAATCTAACTTACAAAGGAGTTCTACTTAAAAAATGTATTTTTAAATTGATAGCATGAAATTCAGTAAGTATTCCTAATAAAACACAACGTTGCTTATGTTGGCTAAATTCCTAGGCTAGCGAAAAGAAACCTATTGATCCCCAAAGATATCACTGGTCATGGGCAGCGGGGATCCTGCAGAACACACACAGAAGGTTCACCAACTCTCGAGTCTCTCTTTATGTCGACAAGTTCTAAAATAGGCCGTTTCCTCTGTTAGCACTTTCTCAACTCCTACTGCTTGTAATTCCCTAAATTTTACATCATGGCAACCCGATCGTCCTGCTTAATAATAACCCTTTCCGCTAAGTATGTTCCTAAGTTACTATCCAAAGCTCCTGCTGGCTCGGAGCAGTTCATTTCAAGTATGTGACAGGAAGAAATCAACAGGGCTGAAATAATTCACTTTAACATTTACAATTTTCAAGGAGGATGCTAGTTAGCCTGAATGAACCCCTAACTGGCAGGATTCTAATAGTGCTGCAAAATAAAGTAAAAAACTACTAAGTAGTTTAAAGAAAAATTTTTGTTTAGGGAAGTGGGTCCTAACAGATTTGAGTCAACATTTATTGACCCCAAATAAATGCTTTTCATTTACTTCTTCTACTTTGAACTCCTATGTCCCTTTAAAGTTCTAACTCTGTACTCTAAATAGCAGTAACTGGAAGAGGAGCTCAGAGACAGGGGTTTACATGTATAAATTATTTGTAAATTAGGAATTACCTGTGTCTAAAATTACTACCTATCTTCGAGATTCCATTCCTGTAAAACCACCTTTCCAGTTCAGATGCTGCTATGCTATCAAGTAAAACCCCAGATGTGAGACCAATTGATACTCAATTTGGGATAAATGAATGAGCACTCAAATACTATTAAAATAGTATCAAAATAATTTTATTCATAAATATTGGAATTATGAAGATTAAAGATTTTTACTTCAAAGCCATAGTTTTCTAACAATTTTTCCCCACATAAATGGTCAGTGTTTTCAATTCTAGCATGGACCATGGAGAAAAAAAACATAAATCTCTAGCTATAAACTGTATTATTATATTCTTCACATATATGTTCCAATGCTACATATATCCTGTCAACTTCAATGGCTTCAATAGGAAAACATATGACTGATATAAAAAAGCAGAATCAAATAACACATTAGCATTCTTTATTTTATTGAAAGAAATTAACAGGTTATTTCATAACTGCTTGAAATATCTGAAGATAATATGGGTGGGCCAGTTGCACAATTGATAGTCATCTGACTGTGGATCATCAAAATCGTCTGACCCTAAAACTGACATCTATTTTAGGAAAGTCATCCATTAATCACTCATCATTTGAAAAGCAGCCTTTAGCAAAGGGTAAAGTATCTCTATCAGTTAACAAAATTTGCTGCTGACATATGCAGCAACTAAAACTATCATGTACTGAGTACGATAAACTCCTTAAATCTTGACCTTGGATTGCTTTAAATAACAATTCTAGTGATTATTCCATATATCCTTCAGGGTGGTCATTTTTCACACACACACAAAACATGTTTATATCTAGTGAGAGTTTTATGAGGATAAGTGGATAACAGCAAACACCAAATGTACTTTGCCAACTACAGGTATAATTTTCTCTAAAGCAGCTTAAAAACCGAGACAAATTACATGAAAAGAACAGACATTTTAAATTTTTTCTGAGAAAAACCTACAGTGAATTTTTCATCTTTCCCCTACAAATGGAATCATTCACAAATTATGGAACAAAGATTAGATGCTAATGAAAAACATCTACTATCTTTACCACGTGAACCTCCCATAATCCTGAGAATCTCTTACAGTATGTTTTAGCTCACATTTTGCCAAAGGCAATATAACGATCTATGCACACTTTACGAACTGAGCTTAAGTGGTTTTGAAACTAGATCTACAGACCATCTTTTAGTTGTCTAAAAATCACTGCACAATATTAATGTACAGCAAGCACATCTTCAGGGTGAGGGGAGGGGGAGAATATCAAGACACCTAATTAAAAGCAGTGACATGCTGAGATTTCTAAAATTAATACTAATCCACATAGACCAAGAGTGGCAAAACTGTAACTGAAATGAATACAGTAGCATGATGCGGCAAATCCAGATTAACTCAGGAGTTAATGAATCAAATGGCAGGTATAATGGTTTCCCTAACGTCACAATGTTTTGTAATGACATAAAACCTAAAAATCATATATAATTTCGAAATAAGTAGGAGAGAAGTATTACAAGCAGCAAATGAAAACAATCAGCATGACACAAGGGTCGGAAGTGCTGTTAAGCACTGTGTCATTTCTCGAGCTGGGTGGAAGGGCACAGTCGTTTGTGATCATCTTCTAACTTTACATGATACAGTCATATATGTATATTTCACAATTTGAAATTTTTATCCCACAGCAAAGAAATATAATGCACAATGGGATTTAAAAGGACGATTTAGATAATTCAGAAGATGCCAACTAAGAATAAGCTAGCCCTCAAAAAAGAATAAGCTAAAAAAATAAAATCAAGAAAAACTTACTTGATAGATCTAAAATTTGATTCCATGAATTAAAAGTACAATGTGATTATCTAAAAATTATACACTGTGAGCAGCTTTCCTTATAAACTTCTACTCATTTACACTAACAGATTAAGGAAATAACAGAAGAAAACATCTTTTCCCACACAATAATTTTAGAAATCGATCTTCTAGAATTATAATAGCCAAAGGAGTCAAACGGAAAAAATAAAGAAGTGTTAAGATTTCCATACCTAATGCACAAGAAAAAAAATCTATAATTCTAATTCCCAATAAAGTAACTAAATAGCATACAAAGAAAAAGTATTTTCACTATCTGGGAATTTCAAGTGAAATCCTAAAAATAAGAATATTTATGATACCCCCCCCAAGCCCATAGGAAATAGTCTTAAAAAAATTAAAAAGGCAAAATGCACGAGATTTTAGAGCATGATATCAAATCAAGATTATGAGTAAAACTATAGGAAAAAGAACTTTGGCTGAACACTATGCACCAACACATTTAATCCCCTGGCAGTGCTGTGAGCAGGCAGCGCTGTTTCCCTCTCGTCAATGGGGAAGGCAGGGTCAGAATGACTGACCAGCTTGGCCCTGAGCTCTGGTCCCACAGCGAAGTTCATACTTTCCAAGCCCACCAAAATGCCTCTCATCAAGGATCACTGAAAGAGTTACAAGGAAGTCATAAAGATGCAAGAATCTGGGTGTGTCTAAGTCTGTCTCTGAACTCACTCTTCTAACTCAACCATCCTCAACCATCCTCAACGGGACATAAAGCTCCTAAATCGGAAATTAATTCCTAAAAAACATTTCAGTTTAGGATAATGGGAACGTAACTCTCCGCAAAAGTTAGCCTAGCAGAGAAATTCTGATTACAGCATATAACAATATTGTTATATATTCCCTTAACTGAAAAAAAAATTTTTTTAAAGGAGACAAAGTAAAACGAGGGTAAAAACCAAGAGCAGTTAAGTCATTTCTGCCTTGGGCAAGAAAAAAGAACATGAAGGATTACAAACCTGGGTCGTGCATTAAACAACTCCAAAGGCATGTCAGAGGCGGGAGCAGCTGAGGTACGTGGTAAAGGGGCTAGAAGGATGTGGTTTCTCGTGAAATTATTGGGGGGGGGGGGAGGACACTAACACAACCCTGAGGTAAGCACTGGAGAGAAGGTGAAGAACTAAGAACTGAGTGGGATAAATAAATACTGCCCCAATTTTTTGCTACCTCGAGCATCCAGTTATTTTGCTTCTTTGGGATGATATCTGGGCTCAAGTTAAACAAAATTAGGGCACTGAGTGTATGGATATACCAATAATTAATTACAAAAAAAACAGAGGGAAATATCTCAAACGCATGTCATCCATAACAATGCGTAATGCACTAACAAATACCTTTTCTAAAACTGCAGGAGACACTGAAAATTTCTAGGGTAAGTTAGTTCAATAAGTATAAAGTACAGAATAACCCTGTCACTGATTCGAAATACATCAACTACCACTGATACTCTATTTCGTGTGCTATCCTTTGTCTTCCTTCAGTTGAGTGTGAAAACAAGAATTTGCACAAGTTTATTTCAGCCTTCGAGTCGAGTCTATCAACATTATCTACATGTATTCTCTTGAATTCTGAGTTCCTCAAATATGAATTCTCAGACCACAGAACTTTGCAGAAACCCAGCTCCCACTGCTGGAGAGTGACCACTAAACAGGTATCAGAAACAGCCCAACTG